AAAAATTTTTCTTACTGCAAATGTAAAAAATACATATTAATTGTATTATAGGGGTGTAATTATAACGAATTAGAGAGAGATTTATTCAAAATTAAATAAATCATTAATAAAATTAATGAGTAAATAATAAAATATATTAGTTAAAATGAATTTTTCAAAGTAATTAAAAATAACGTAAATCGGATCATTTTTAATTAAATATATGATTAAAATTTAATAATTAAACTAAACACAGTAAAGGTCCGTACGATAAATCAACAAAATTTCATAAAAGGCTTAAGGGACCAACGCAAAGGTAAAAGATGCGAAAATAAAAAACGGTTATATTAGTATAATAACCTAATAAAACTTTTATTTAAATCAAGTGACAAACGCTGCGTTTCGACCCAATTCGGGTTCTTATCAATGTCAAATCGCAAAATACCAGTAAGCAAAAATAAAATTCAATATAACGGTCATTAATAATAAGTGACGGAAAGACACAAAGCAAAATAAATAGTGATAAAAGAGTCAAAAAAGTCAAAATTAAATACGCAAATAACGGGCGAATTTAAACGCACAAAAAGCGCAACGCAATGATGGGCAAACCCATGATCCAAATTCCTGGTATGCCATGACAAAAACCATGTCGCTCCACCCTCGAAAAACGCACGCCGACAAGGAAACCCAGTCATAAGGTCCACAAACATCTCATTAATACAAGGCAGTCAAAGAAGCCTAGGTCGATGACCAGCCAAAATGCAATGGAGCCCAATGTGCTCTGATTAAACCTTAATTCGGGTGGCATACTATAAAAGAGAAAAACAACAAAAAATGTGTAAACCCCCCTAAATGACATTAAAAACCCCAAAAGATAGTACGGGAATCAATTTATCAAAATTTAAAAAATAAAAAAGTTATAAAGAATAAATTAAAAGTAAGACAAAAAATAATACGATGTGAAACGATTAGAAATAGATAAAAATGCGTACCCTTCCCCAAAATGAAGGTAAGCAGAACACGGAAATCCTTCGAGGAGAGAGCAATACAGGCACGACACAAACTCTCTAATCGACAGCGCCGGACTGAGAGATACGAGAACGCAAAGAGGCGACGCAAGATCCCCAAAAAAGGAAAGAGGGGGAAAGAAAGATATCACCATCAGAATGAAGGATAAAGAAATGATGAAAGGAAACATTTCGAAGAAATCATTGTGAGAATTTCTTTATAATTGGCAAATATATCTTGTCAAGGAACTCCGTGTCACTCTGGATGTTGATACCGTGATTCTGATTAGAAATATGTAACATTTCTGCAATTAGTCTCTTTTTATATCCCGGTTCTTCTTCTAAAATGGAGATGTTTGCCCAGTCAAATTCATGACCTTCCATTCTATGAAGGGACACAACCGAGAGAGACCCCGATGTCTTATTGATATCAGAGCGGTGTTCCTTGATCCTAGTTATTAGTTTCCTCTTCATCTGACCCACATAAGAAGCATCACAATCTAGACAGCTGATCTTATAAATGACATTAGAATGGTGGAGATCAGGTAAAGGATCCTTATGCAATCTGACGAGAGAGTTCAGTTTGTTGTTCACAGAGTAAGCCAATCTTCTATTCGCATATTTCTTGATATTCGAAATGAAATTTCTGGGAAAACTTGAGGAAAAAGGAATGGTGAAAAAAGGAGAAAGAGTAGGAGAGGAGGGAGTATGGAAATGCAAGTCAACGTCATTGCTCTTAGTAAAAATTAAAAACTTGAGTCTTTGAGTAATCGTTTGAAAAATGAAATGTATCGGATAACCATTGTTCAATAAAATTGAGATGATAAAAGAAAAATTATCGTTATGAAAACGCGGATGTGAAAATCTAAAAATCCTATCAGTCAAGCCGATAACCACTCCTCTTTTATGTGACAGAGGGTGGTGTGAAAAAAATGAGAGAAGTCTCCCTGAAAAAGTCGGTTTCCTGTACCAATTGAATTCAATGTAATTCTTGTTAATGATAATAGTGTGTGTCCAAGAAATTTATACTACAATTATTAAAGTATTCAATGGTAAAACTCAATCTGTTGTGAAGTGAATTAAACATCTGGAAAATGTGATGGATAAATTGTCTAGGAACAGCAAGAACAATGTCGTCGACATAGCGTATGTAAAAAGGAAGAGAAACTGGGAGGGATGAAATTGCTCTTTCCTCCAAATCCGCCATGATAATATCTGCCAAAATCGAGGAAAGCGGGGAGCCCATCGGAGTGCCAAAAATCTGTTTATAAATGACATTATCAAACTTGAAATAAGTGGAATCCATAATCAGTTTAAGAGAAATAACAAATTCACCGTATGGAATACTGATATTCTTTTCAATGAAATGCTATCGTTTCGCAATTCCTCCAATAACCAAATCAAGTGGAACATTGGTGAAAAGACACAAGAAACATTGGTGAAAAGACACAAGAAACTCACAACATCCAAAGACGCCAAGTCATAGTTGTCTTCTAAGTAAAAATTATTAAGTTTTTTAATTAATTCAAAACTGTTTTCGATATGGCTTCTCGGATTCAGCAAATTCTTGTATAGGATGCCGTGGAGAAAAAGGCGCCAATAGTATAAAGGACTGTTAATACAAGAGTATAAAGGACTGTTAATACAAGAGACAATCACACGTAACGGGCATTCCTTTTTATGTATTTTTGACAATCCATAGGCATCATGGGTTTGCCCATCATTGCATTGCGCTTTTTGTGCGTTTAAATTCGCCCATTATTTGCGTATTTGACTTTGACTTTTTTGACTTTTTTATCACTATTTATTTTGCTTTGTGTCTTTCCGTCACTTATTATTAATGACTGTTATATTGAATTTTATTTTTGCTTACTGGTATTTTGCGATTTGACATTGATAAGGACCCGAATTAGGTCGAAACGCAGCATTTGTCACTTGATTTTAAATAAAAGTTTTATTAGGTTATTATACTAATATAACCGTTTTTTATTTTCGCATCTTTTACCTTTGCGTTGGTCCCTTAAGCCTTTTATGAAATTTTGTTGATTTAATAATTAATTTGATTAAGAGATTCGATTTATATTATTATTATTATATATTAGGTTTGATTTCATTTTAATCGCAAAAAATCTCATTAATTTATTGCAATTATTTTCAAATCGGGAAAAAATGCAAAATATAAAATTTATATTTTTTATATACCGCGGAATCATGTGTATATATTACTGCACGACAGTACTCGTTGTTATTGTCGTGCTTATGCGTTAAGAACAAAGCAACGCGGGAAAAGTCTATCATAACGAGTTACATTTTCAACTGAAAATAACGAACATTATATATATATTTACTCAGTATTTTATGGGTATTTATTTAATTTTTGTACAATGGTAATGCAAAATGGTTTACTTCCTTTATGCTCGCCGACTTTCTAAAAAGGAGGATGGTTTAAAAGCCCAGACAGCACTCGATATCCTATGGATATCCATTTTATGTTAATTTTATGTTGGGGTGTCCATGGATCATATCAAAGCTACGCGGTAGCATCACGAGTACATAAAAAAACTAAGTACATAAGCTAAGTACATAAAAAAACAGGTCCAAGCATTGAGGGCCATTGTTCTCGACGCGGCGCTACTAACTTGGTAGTATCAAGTGCCCTATTTAACCCCCTATTTAACGGAAGTGCGGAATTTCACGTCAAGTAAACTTTCGAGTAAGATATTTTAATAAACTAAAGCCGAAATAAAAAATCTAACGACATTTTTATGATATAATGAATACAAACTTTTCGATTTGCGACCTGTTTAAATAAAATCGGTGTAGTCAATCCTGGAGAAATGATGATCGAATATCAGAATTATGACATTTTTCCATAGACACAGTAAGTATAGACCGAGCATCCATTGTATAAGCGTTAAGCATACGAAAAGAAAGACAAAAGAATGTAAGATGAGTTTCTTTCTCTTTCCATGCGGGTAGCACTTCTCCACATCTGCTCGCGCCGGNTATCTCGATTGCTCCGGAGGAAGTGCCGGAAAATACGTTTAACCGCGTACGCGCGATACGAGTTTATTCGCTAATTAATATTATTTTAATATTATTTTAATATTATTTTAATATTCTTAGTATTAATATTATTTTAATATTCTTAGTATTAATATTATTTTAATAATATTTTTATATTATTTTAATATTCTTAGTATTAATATTCTTAGTATTAATATTATTTTAATATTATTTTAATATTATTTTTTTCTTAGTATTAATAGTATCTTTCTAAGTATTAATAATACTTTTAGGTAGGGCGATAAGTCGTCGATAAGAGTACGCGTAAGACTAATCTACGACGCGTCTCTGTTCACATGTCGCGCAATTGATCGCGTCTCTCCAACCACCAGTTGTGCAGTTTGCACACGTTTTCCAAGGCGCAATTCTTCGAGTGATAGCCGCAGCGATAGACGCGAGTCGCGGCTAGCGTTCGAAGGGGTCCGATATCCTCGTAATCGGTGTCGATGGTCTCCATCGTCAGGTCGAGCTGTTCCGCGACCTCTCCCGCGATGTCGGCCAGCCACTTTTTCTTCTCGAGACCCTTGACGTAGATCGTCACCGCGGCGTTCGACGCGAGATCCCTCGACGCGCGATATATCGCGTCGCGAACGATCTGCTTCGCGTGCCTATACTTCACGTGTCCGTCGGTCCAGTGAAATTCGTGGTGATTAAGAGTCAGCCAACAGGCCTGCGACTTCTCGCTCTTCGTCAGCAGATTCCACGACATCGGCGCGCGAAAGATGTGATGCGTAAGATCTCTGCCGTTCGCAAGTATCGCCATCTCCTTCGTCACGAATCGCTCGTTGACGACGAAACCCTGCAGATCGACGAAGATCGGCGGGGCGATATCGCTCGCGACCGTCGTCGCGGTCATCGTCGCGAGATACTGACGTTTATTCGCGTCTCTCCCCGATATCTTCGCGATTTCGAGTTTCCTCTCTTCCCCCTCCCGTCCGACGCGTCGTCTTACAGGATCTTACGCACGACGTTCGTCAACGGATTGTACTCCACCACGCGATCGTGAATGATTAGACAGTACGCCGTGGTGTTAGAAGGAACGTTGTCCTTGCAGTCGAATTCTAGACGAACGTCCACAGTGGCGCTCTTAATCGCTTCGTTTTGGCGGGAACAATCTATCACCGTGAGCGGGCCGCAGTATAGAAATTTGTTCATAGTCAGGAGCGTCTCGTCGCTCGCGGATCCGTAATACGTTCGTCGAAATCTCGCGTAGGCGTCGTACAGTACGGCGATCATCTTGTTCTTATCGAAGTCCAAATTCATATCGTTGTACGGATAGAAGTCGGAATTGAGATACAACTTTACGTTGGTCAGATTGCACGCGTCGAATCTGGAAGCGTCCTGCGACAGGACGTTCTTCTTTCTGGTGTGCAACGCGGAAGATGACGTAACGCGGTTTCTCGAGCTGCGTGGCCGCTTTTACGGCCCACGAGTGTTTGGTCGTGCTCTGCAGGAGCGGAAACTCGTAGAGATCCCACGAGCGAAAGGGTGCGCTCAGATATCTGCCGCTGTCCAACGTGCGCAACAGCGATAATTTGTTGACGTCATTCAGCACCACGTGCGGCACGCGCCACTGTATCTTCGCGAGCTCGAATTCCTCGCGCGATATCAGACAATTGTTGTCGTTTCGCGCTCTTATCAGAATCAGCTCGTGACGCGCGTTGATAACGACGCGCCTGTAATCCTCGGAGAAACCTAGCAGCGTATCGAGAGGAACGCAGAAGTTGAAGTCGCCCGTCGACGCGACGCCGCTCGGTCCAGTCGCGAGATCCCATCCGGCGTTCTTCAAGATCTTGCCTCGTTCGGCCGTCAGCGAGACGTAGTTCTTGATCGTGCTGGTTATTCCGACGTTGCGATTACGATCGATTTCCACGCCATCGAGCTCGTAACGTATCTCCTCGAACATAAAGGCGACGCAATTGTTCACGAGCCACGCCGGCGTCGAGGGCACGGACGGCTCCTTAGAGGCCGAGGCAGGCTTACCCGATTCGCCGCTCGACGCGGGCGGCGGATTATTCTTCGCGTGCAGTCTACCTTTGACGTAGAGAAAATTCTCGCACGGCAGCGTGTATAGGTCCTGCTGTTGTATAGGTATTCGTATCTCGTCGCTGTATCCGAAAGTGGTATTGGCGTACAGATTGTACGTGTGACTCTCGATCTTCACGATGCGATTGTCGAAGACGGGTTCCCCGCCGATGCTCAGAATGTCCCTCATGTCGTCGTCGAACTATCGCGCGGCTCTCGGTACGACGAAACCCATGGATCGCAGAAAAGCGACGTTGGCTGCGGACAATCTCCCGACGCTCCTCTCTCTCGAGCGCGCGACTCGAGTTCCCGCGACGCGATCGCGGTCGCCGCCGCGATGCGACGTCGCGACGCTAGATTCGCGCACAACGAGCATCGCCCCGTTCCCTCCCCCGTCTCGCCGCGCGCTCTCTATCGTCTGCGCCGCACGTGCAGTCGAATCGAGATCTCGCTGCGGAAATCGATCAATCGACCGTCCTGATCGACGACGTGCAGCGATACGTCGGTCACGAGTCGCGCGATGACCGGCAGATAAATGATCTGCCTCGGGATCTCCGACACTTTGTATCCCGGCGGGACGTTCGGCGCGAATTCGTGTATCGCGTGGGCGGATCTCCCGTTCACGTACGCGTCCGTCGTCAGGTTGCACTCCACGCGAATCGTGTTAACCGCGATAATGCTCACGGGCTCGTCGGACGCGTACCATTTGTTCGGCCGCAATACTCGAGACTGGGAGAAACCTAACAACGATCCGATATTGTTCGGTTTGGTGAAATTAATTCGATACGCGCATTTGATTTCGCTTCTCATGGTATTGTCGTTACCGCGTAGCGCGAGAACGCGATCGCCGCTCTCGTCCTCCGCGTCCTCGACGTCGTACAGATATTCCTCGTCGTCGTCGCCGTCGCCGCCGTCTCTCCCTCCGGTACTCGCGTTTGGCGGTCGTCGCCGTCTTCGAAGAATCGCGGCTCTCAGGTACGCGCTTATATCGCGCAGCTCGTAGGATCCGATCGGGATCGCGATCGTCTCGTCGTTGTCGTCGAAGTAAAATTTATTGTTCGAGGAATTTACATTCGGAATCGTGTTGTAGGTCTCGAAATTGGTCAGGCCGAGCTCGTATTCATCGTCGCTCAGATCGAGAGGTGGAAAGTAACTCGGCGTGAGAACGTTGCTTCTTCCGGTCAGCGTGAGAATCAGCGACATGACGACGCGCGCTATCGCCGTTAGAGACTGAAGGGCTTCCTCCTTCTTCCTCCCCAATCGACTCGTCGAAGGAAGCGCAGGCACAATTGTCCGCAGACGCTCTGATCGTACGTCTGCTGGGAGTCGCGATTGTACGCGACGCGCGTGTAGCGTCCGAGATAACGCGCGAGTTCTCGAGGCGGCCGAAGATTGCCGAAAGCGTCGAAGTAGATAGCGTCTTTTCCCCTTTTAGCGTACGCCACCCAATGCGTGCCCGGCCCCGAGGCGTCGTCCAGGTTCACGATACCACTCTCGTCGCGACGAACTCGCGCCGGCAACGCGTCGCGCATGAACACACCTCTGAAGTGACGCACGCGAGCGCGCCTGGCCGCGCTGTTCAACTGTTCGTTCGTCGTGACGCCGATCGGAGCTACGACGTCGTCTAACGCGCGCGAAGACGCGACTTTTTTTTTTCTTCTTCCTCCTAACCGTTCGTCCGCCTCGTCTCGCGATGCTTCCGCCGCGCTTGTAAGGCGCGAGATACAAACCGCGGCCCTCCATCGCTCGATTGTGTCGCTGCAGCTCCTCCAATTGTCGACGCGCGGCCTTACCGTCGTTTACCATCTTCGCCACGCAGGCCGCTCCGCCGATCAGTGATCCTAAAGCTCCGAGCGCCGGCAACAGCGGCAGGAAGCCGCCGCGTTTCGCCGCGGGAAGAACCCGTCCTCTCGTCGTCGTCGTCGTCGCCGTCCTCCTCCTCCTCGTCGAGGTCGTTCTTCTCTTGCTGCCGCCGCCGCTCTTTCTCGCGCCTCTTCGCGCTCCAACCATACCCATTCCTAGTTTCGTCTTCGCCTTCATAGCCGCTCATACGGCCGACGCCGCCACTCTCTCGCCGAGGGTCGAATCCCCGGCCCGGATACGCTCGAACGCTTTCACTCCGAGCGTCCGATCCGCGACGTGCCGATCGGCGAGATCGTCGCTCCGCGAATAGGCAACGTCGTGCTCGCGGCAAGCCGCGTCCAGCGGATTGACGCCTCGATCGCCTCGCGCGAGCCGCTTACCGAGACGAGTACCGGGACCGCAGAACTGATATCCCGGTATATGTAGTTCGAACGGAAGAGCGTTTATAGTTCTATTGAGCAAACCGCTACCGCCGACGACTGCCGTCGCAGCGTCCTCGACATATCTCATACGCCTCGATCGTCGACGCGCTCATAGTCACGCCATTTCGTTCTCCCGGCACATGTCGCAGTCTTTGATGCACGGCGGCGGACCGTCGATGTGCGTTCGTTGCTACGGCTGATTGTGATGCTTGTGACAGAGGCGATAACGCTGCACGTCCGAATCGTCCTGCAGATGTATAGGCAATCTCTCCCACAATCGATCGACAAAATCGCCGTACTTGTCCAGCAGAAGCTTCTTCGGAACGTACTGCAATTGATCGACGCTGAGTCCGAGAATATCAGAATTGTTCACCAATAGAATAAACATGACGAAGCGTCGCGCGCGCGCGCGCGTAACTCTATCGCGTCACCGTCGATCGGACACGCTTAACTGCACGATCGTTTTTTTTTCTCCCTCTATATATATGCGTTCGCGAGGGCAAATCCGCGCTCGTTGCTCGCGCGCGCGAGTCTGCGCACTGTGACGCAGATTCGCTCGCGACAACGAGGAAGAATCGCGAGAGGAGAGAGATAGAGAGAAAACGATGCGTTTCGTGCGTCAACTGATTGCGATAAGAGTGTCCAACGTGGACGGTAAGATGCGCTCGATGAACGAGGAACCGCGAAGACACGGTAATCTGTTACCGACCGCGATCCGCTGCGTAATCTGCGGTCCCTCTAATTGCGTTAAAACGAACGTGCTGATAAGCCTTCTGGAGAGCCCGCACGGCGTGCGATTCGTGAACGTGTACGTTTACTCGAAATCGTTGCATCAGCCTAAATATCGATATCTGGAGAAATTGTTGAAACCTATGAGGGATATCGGTTACTTCACGTATTCGAACAACGTCGACGTCATCCCGCCTAGCGAGGCATCGCCGAACTCGATATTCGTGTTCGACGTGGCCTGCGACAAACAGGACGTCGTGAGAGAATACTTCGCCATGGGGCGTCACGCGAAGGTCGATTGCCTCTATCTGTGCCAATCGTACGCTAAGATACCCAAACATCTGATACGCGACAACGCGAATCTATTGATACTCTTTAAGCAGGATGGCACTAATCTGAAACACGTGCACAGCGATCACGTGAACACCGATATGCCGTACGAGGATTTTCACGCGCTGTGTCGCGCGTGTTGGGAATATCGATACGGTTTTCTAGTGATCGACAAAGATAGCGCGCTGCGCAACGGCAGATACAGGCGAGGATTCAACGATTACACCGTGCCGTAGAGCGTCGCGTGCGTCGTCGTCGTCGTCGAGGATGAGTCAGTCTTCTCGAGACGGCGGCGATCGTAGAGGGGAGAGAGATAAGAGAAGGCGAAACGTCGAGGAACGACGCGCGCGATGACGGACGTCGACAGACGCGAGAAAACCGCGATAGAGATAGCGAGAACGCGCGCGTCGATTCGCAGGAAGCACAGAGCGCTGAAGACCGGAAGGATGGAGAGCGATAGCGCTCTGGAGACGCGTTTCAAACCGATCGTCGAACCGTTGCGACGCATCGCCGAGCGCGTCGGAGACGATTCCGCGCGAGGCGCGAGCGCGAGAGAGAGGGAACCGGCGAAGAGCGAGATCGACGAGACGTTCGCGCGAGGCGTCAAGAGAACGGGGGCATCGGAGGAGGAGGAGGAGGAGGAGGACGACGACGAGGAAGAGGCCGAGGAGAGCGCGTTACCGCCGCCGCCGTCCGCGAAAGGATTCAAAGCTAAGCGATCTCGCCGTCTGAACGCGACGACTTTCACGCCCGTGGGAGCGTCGGACGCGTCTCCCGCACAGCGGTGCGAATTCGCGAGCGGAGACCTCTTCGCGCAGCCGTCCGTCGAGGAGACGTTCGAGACGAGCGACGACGTCTTCCTCGGATCGCCGGCGACGCTCGAAACGTCCGTGAGACGGTCTCTGCGGACTCCTCGAGGGCGAGACATCTTGCGCGATCAATTGGGCCCGTTGGCGCGAAAGTACGTGGGCGCTCTTCTCGGCGGCGGCGCGCCGAGCGATTTCGATCACGTTTACGGAGTCTACTTCGCCGACGCGGGCACTATGCTCGGGGACAAGCGATTCGACGTAGGCGTCGACGACGCGATATTCGTGGACGCAGTCAGATACGCCGGTACTCCCGGTCTGTACGAATTGATCTTCAAGAGAATTCCCAACGATTTCAAGTACACCGAGAGAGACAAAGCCGCGTACAGGAGCATACTTCTGCAAACTAACGCTCACAGGCACGATCGCAAGCACAATATTCGCATGCCCGTACTGTGAAACAAGGGATATAAGTACAAGCACGTCATAGCTCCGATCCTGCGGACAGTCCGAGGAAGAGGATCGGCGGGGGTCGCGTGCCGCGGGCTATGCGCGCGACCCGCGACACCGTGGACTACGTTCATTGGGACGATCCGAACGAATTGGTGGATCGTCTCCGATTGCTGGACGCTTCTCGTCAAGCCGGCAACAACGCTCACGACAACGAGATCCTGTCGATAATCGAGGAGCTCCGCGAGATACTGTGAGACGATCGCGGCGACGCGCGCTTCATTCGACGACGCGATGTTCGCGAGCAAGTTCGGAGTGTCGACGCGGAGAAGACGCGGTCGCGACGCGATGAGCGCTAGATTGCGCGCGAGCGTGGAATCTCTGCGAAATTACGTGCGCGATAACGCGCTGTACCTGACCGTCTCCGACGTCTCTCCATCCGCGTCGCATTACGACGCGCGGCGTCTCTAGATACGAGGAGTGGCCTGGCCGACCAACAACGACGACGCGACGAACAAGAGTTACGTCGAAAGCGTTATACACGCGGTGAGAGCGAACGTGGCGAATAATCACCAGCCTATCGCGAGCGCGAGAACGCGAGCGGATAACAACGCGGCCTCGACGACGAAGAAAATCGTCGCTCTGAGCAAGAAGATCGACGCTCTCAAGAGCGCCGCGACCGAAAGATCGAGCGCTCTGGAAGCCGACGTTACGCTGATTCGCGCGAGGGGGAGCGCTCTCGAGAATCGGTTGCAAACGCTGGAGAATCTGCAGGAGCTCGCCGCGACGAGGATCGAGACCGTCGAGGCGGAGAGATCAGCCTCGCGCGCGGTCGTCGACAAGCGACTGGGCGATCTGGAGAGCTCCGTCGAGACGAATCGGGCGAACGGGGACACGTCGAGCAAACTGTCGCGCGAACTGGGGACCTCCGTCGTGCGGCTCGAGGAGATCGGCGAGAAAACGGAGAAGCGAGTGCGCGCCTTGGAGAGATCTCTGTCGCACGTGAACAACGTAGCGGCGAACGAGAGAAATCGAGCCGCGTTGAGCGGTCACGACAGAACGCTGCAAGAGTTGACGGCGAAGGCGCTGACTTCCAACGCGAAATTGCGAGAACTGGACGTCGAAGTGGCGCGTCTGAGGAAAGACGCGAATGAACTCGCGAGGAGAACGGCCGCGATGACGACGACGGCGACGAAGGCTGCGGCGAAGGCGGCGGCGGCTGCAATTCCTAAGACGATCGATCCGAATAAGGTAATCATACAACTGGGCGCTAAAACTCTCGATAAGCAACAGTCGAAGAGAGGATAGAAAAAAAATAGAGACGGCGAGATGAGCGCCGCGAAACGGAGACTCGTGAACGAGCTGCACGCGCCGGCGAGAAAGAACTTCCCCCGTCGCCGCGTCGCGGTGCGCGGATACGACGATCTGTGGCAAGCGGACGTCGTCGAGATGCGTCCTTACGCCGGACGGAACAGAGGCCACAATTACATACTCACCGTCATCGACGCTCTGAGCAAGTACGCATGGGCGGTACCGCTCAAGAGAAAGAGCGGTAACGAGGTCGCTCGAGCCCTGTCGAGCGTGACGCGCGCCTTCGGACGTCGCCCGAGAAATCTGCAGACCGACAAAGGAAAGGAGTTCTACAACGCCGAAGTGCGAAGATTCGTGGATAGACACGGCATCAATCACTACTCGACGTATTCTGTGCTGAAAGTGTCCATCGTCGAGCGTTTCAATCGCACGCTCAAGAACTCGATGTGGAAGTACTTCACGCTGAACGGAACGTACAAGTGGCTCGACGCGCTGCCGCGTCTAATATCCGAGTACAACGCTTGCAAGCATTGAACCATCGGGATGCGTCCGATCGACGTGACGCCCGCTCGAGCGTCGAGACTCCTGTCGACGGTGTACAGCCACCCGAAGATCGCCGCTCCGGGAAAATTTCGACCGAACGATCCCGTGCGCGTGAGCAAGTACAAGACGCTGTTCGAGAAGGGATACACGCCGAATTGGACCGCGGAGATCTTCCGCGTAGCCGAGGTGCGAAGGACGAATCCCGCGACGTATCTGCTGAAGGATTCGCGCGGCGAGTCGATAGCCGGCGGATTCTACGAGCACGAGTTGCAGCGAGTCTCCGATCCTGACGTGTATCTCGTGGAGAGAGTGCTGCGCCGGAAGGGCGACGCGGTTCTCGTGAAGTGGCTGGGGATGGACAGGTCGCATAATTCGTGGATAGACAAAGCCGACATATTGTGACGAACATACGTATATTTTCGCGCGATATTACAGACGAAAAGATACATCGCGCGTATTGTAACGCGTCGCAACGAATATATATATACAGGGTCTACCAAAAGTGTGGAAACCCCTAAATATCTCGGAAAATATACGTTTTACAGAAAAGTGTTTCCAACAAAAGTTGTAGGGTTTAAGAAGATCTATATACTGATTCTATCAGTTTGACCTTGGATGGCGTCGTCAAGGTCAGGTCAAGGTCACATTGACTTTTTTAAATGACACCCCCTACATTTGATTGCATATTCTTATAGCTTAATTCAAGAGCTTTCCAAAACACTATAATAATGTTCATTTTTATTAAGTACTTTGCGAGTTATGAGGGTTGAAATAATTTCTTAATTTTACATAAACCATAAAATATCTAGTAAACCAGTCATTTTTCGATTATCTTACCTTCATACTTTTATGTACAAAATAATGAAAGGAATCAATTGGTGTAAAGAAAACATACAGTTGTTTTTAAGAAAAAATATGGAATTGTTAATTGCAAATTACATATTTTTTCTTAGAAACAACTATGTGTTTTCTTTACACCAATTGATTCCTCTCATTAATTTGTACATAAAAGTATGAAGGTAAGATAATCGAAAAATGAATGGTTTACTAGATATTTTATGGTTTATGTAAAATTAAGAAATTATTTCAACCCTCATAACTCGCAAAGTACTTAATAAAAATGAACATTATTATAGTGTTTTGGAAAGCTCTTGAATTAAGCTATAAGAATATGCAATCAAATGTAGGGGGTGTCATTTAAAAAAGTCAATGTGACCTTGACCTGACCTTGACGACGCCATCCAAGGTCAAACTGATAGAATCAGTATATAGATCTTCTTAAACCCTACAACTTTTGTTGGAAACACTTTTCTGTAAAACGTATATTTTCCGAGATATTTAGGGGTTTCCACACTTTTGGTAGACCCTGTATATATATATACCGGGTGTTTCAGACCACCCGTACACCCCATTTTAAAGCAAAGGAAGTGGTTATTTTGAAAAATGTTTCAGACAAAAGTTGTTGAAGATAAAGTAATGCATTACATGGGTAAATTTGATTGACCTTGGGTGGCGTCGTGAAGGTCATGTCAAGGTCGACTTGAATTTTTTAAATGGGAACTCCTATTTTTCATTGCATATTCTTGTAGCTTATCTCGAGAGCTTTCCAAAACACTATAATTAAGTACCTTTTTATTAAGTACTTTTTGAGTTATAAGGCTTGAAATAATTTCTTAATTTTATATAAACCATAAAATATCTAGTAAACCATTCATTTTTCGATTATCTTACCTTCATACTTTTATGTACAAAATAATGAGAGGAATCAATTGGTGTAAAGAAAACACATAGTTGTTTCTAAGAAAAAATATGGAATTGTTAATTGCAAATTACATATTTTTTTCTTAGAAACAACTATGTGTTTTCTTTACACCAATTGATTCCTCTCATTATTTTGTACATAAAAGTATGAAGGTAAGATAATCGAAAAATGAATGGTTTACTAGATATTTTATGGTTTATGTAAAATTAAGAAATTATTTCAAGCTTTATAACTCAAAAATTACTTAATAAAAAGGTACTTAATTATAGTGTTTTGGAAAGCTCTCGAGATAAGCTACAAGAATATGCAATGAAAAATAGGGGTTCCCATTTAAAAAATTCAAGTCGACCTTGACATGACCTTCACGACGCCACCCAAGGTCAATCAAATTTACCCATGTAATGCATTACTTTATCTTCAACAACTTTTGTCTGAAACATTTTTCAAAATAATCACTTCCTTTACTTTAAAATGGGGTGTACGGGTGGTCTGAAACACCCGGTATATATATATATATATCTATATATATAAAAATGAATCTCTATTTCCCTTGGTCATCGTATCACACGTGAACGGAGGGAACAATTTCGCTAATTCTTTTTTTGTTGTGTTAATTATTGTCTGGAGAAGGTTCTTATTAAAGAAAAAATTTTGTAAGTTTAGCGGAACATTAGAAACTTTAGAAAATTAAGGAAAACTTAACGAAAATATTAATTTACCATAACTTAACAAAATATTAATTTACCATAACTTAACATAACTGTGAGTTGTTTCATATTTGAAATGAAAGGATAAATTAAGTATTTAACAACCGACCCATCTGTGCTAAACAATATTTGCAGCGCGTATTCTGTCAATCGCTGACAGTTATTTAAAACAACTGACAGTTATGTCTATCAACTGACCGTTATGTTAAATTTATATTTTCGTTAGGTTTTCTTTAATTTTCGTAAATTTTCTAATGTTCCGCGCGCGACTTCGAGAAAGATCGAACGCGCGCGTGACTAAACCGACCGGCGCTCGCAAACCTCGGAGTTCCCGCGCACTCGAGAATAACAACACGGTTTAAAATAACAGAAAACTTTAATAACAGAACAATAACAGCACAACACAGAGAGCATAACGTTGTTAGCAATAAAACCGCGGAACGTTACACGTCCGCTCAGCTTGATAGCTGATCGTTTAACACAGATGGGTCGGTGGATAAATAATTAATTTATCATTTCGTGCAATTACATTTCAAATATACAGTGAGTTTTTGAGAAGTGTTAAATCATCACGGTAAGTGAAGAGCAATCACGCCTATTATAGAAATAGGTTTAAATATACTGTTTTGATTGACTTGATATAAAGAAGAATACAATAGAATATTATTTTATTTTCAGTATTTTTGCCAGCAATATTTTTGTTTTTAAAAATGCCAGCAATTAGACGTACAAACATAAGTCGCAGAACTCGCAATGCTGCAAGTCAGCGACATACAAGAGCACGTCAAACTGACGAGCAACGCGAAACGCGGAATGAAGTTGAACGGAATCGATGGAATCGAAATCAACAGCATAGAAATGTTGCTTTTAACCCTTATCGAGCTGCATTTAATTATAACGTGGAAATCGATTACAGTTCACAGCAAATCGTTGCTATAGGATCAATGAACGTTGTGTGTCAATATTGTAAAGCATTTAAGTTTAAATATGAAGCCTCTGGATTGTGTTGCGCGAGCGGTAAAGTGAAATTGACGCCATTGGTACCGCCACCAGAGCCTCTGCATTCATTGGTTTCCGGAAATGGGAGAGTTTCTATACATTTTTTGACTCATATACAGCAATACAATAATTGCTTTCAAATGACGTCATTTGGCGCAACAAAAGTTATTCAAGAAAATTTTATGCCAACTTTCAAGGTAAGTATATTGAAAACAATAAACTTTTACCACCACGTGCCTGATGCAAAATACGTTGAAATGGTGTATCAATTGAAATAGCGTAAAGTAGGTTTGGAGTTCGGTAAATAGCCAAAAGCAGCCAGAAGTAAGTATGTTTGAAAAGTTGATGGGGGAATGGCAGTGCTGACAAAATATCTAGATAGCAACATGCTGGTACAAACAATTCGATAGACAATATCCTACATTACATCTATTTATTGTCTGTTTACCTTTGCAGATTCAGGGACAAATATATCATTTAACAGGATCCTTATTGCCAACGCAGGATAGTGAATATAAATTTATGCAAATTTATTTTATGGGCGATTCAGCAAGACAAGTCGATCAACGTTGTGCACACAATAAATTGGTGAAAAGACCAATTGTGGAACAACTGCAAATGTTTTTCCATCAACACAACGAATTGGTTACATTATTCACGACTGCATTAGACCGCATGCCATCTGATAACCACAAAATTGTCATCAAAGCCGATAAGACGCCTGCAGGACAACACGCAAGACGCTATAATGCGCCAACAATTGATGAAGTCGCTATTGTTGTCGTGGGTGAAAATTTAGAAAACCGAGATATTGTTTTACACCGGCGTAACGATCAACTACAGCGTATGTCAGAAACACATCGATCATATGATGCGTTACAATATCCTATCTTATTTTGGCAAGGTGAAGATGGATATGACTTTTCAATGAAAAAGATAGATCCAGTTATAGGTAAATAAACAACGTTCAGTTCAACCTTTATCACAACGTTAATTTGTGTTATTATAACACGGAATTTTGTTTATAGGTTCTGAAACTAATAAAAAAATTAGTTCAATGAATTATTATTCGTATAGACTGATGGTTCGGGAAAATGAGGACAATCACATCTTAAAATGTCGACGTCTCTTTCACCAATATGCTGTGGATATGTACGTGAAAGTTGAAACTGAACGATTGACATTTATCAGGTTGAATCAGGCAAAACTCCGTTCTGAGGAATACATTCATCTTCGGGATGCCATCAATGCTGACGGAAATGCACAGAATGTAGGCAGAACAACTATTCTAACAACATACGTCGGAAGTCCGCGACATATGCATGAATACGCTCAGGATGCTATGTCGTATGTCCGTCATTATGGCACACCAGATTTGTTTATAACGTTTACATGCAATCCACAATGGACAGAAATTCGACAAGAATTGTTTTTTGGTCAATCGCCCATTGATCGCCACGACATTACCGCAAGAGTGTTCAAAAGAAAATTAAAATCACTAATGGATTTCATTGTTAAACATCACGTGTTTGGCGAGACGCGCTGTTGGATGTATTCAGTCGAGTGGCAGAAACGCGGATTGCCACATGCACACATCCTCATTTGGTTGGTAGAGAGGATAAGACCGAATGAAATCGATGATGTGATATCGGCGGAAATTCCAAATAAAGATGAAGATCCATTGTTACATGAGGTTGTTACAAAAAATATGATTCATGGTGGAATATTAAATCCAATTTCTCCGTGTATGGTTGACGGAAAATGTTCAAAACGCTTTCCAAGACAATTAGTTACAGAAACTATTAGTGGAAATGATGGTTATCCACTCTATCGCCGGCGATCCACTGATGACAATGGAAGGTCAACAATAGTCAAAGTGAATCAGCAGAACATTGAAGTTGATAATCGTTGGGTTGTTCCGTTTTCGCCATTACTCTCCAAGACATTTAAAGCACATATAAATGTCGAATTTTGCCATTCCGTAAAATCTATAAAATATATCTGCAAGTACGTGAACAAAGGTAGTGACATGGCTGTGTTCGGAGTTGCTGCTGAAAATTCAAACGATGAGATCACTCATTTTCAAATAGGCCGCTATGTTAGTAGTAACGAGGCGATGTGGCGTATTTTTTCATTTCCTATACATGAAAGATACCCCACTGTTGTTCACTTGGCCGTACATCTGGAAAATGGTCAAAGGGTGTACTTCACAACGGAAAACGTATTACAACGGGTTGACAGGCCGCCATCGACAACATTGACCAGCTTCTTTGAAATGTGCCAGAACGATGACTTTGCCAGAACACTGCTTTATTCAGAAATGCCAAGATATTATACCTGGAATCAATCGTCAAAGAAATTTCAACGACAGAAACAAGGACAGCCAGTTCCAGGTTACCCACAAGTATTTTCAACCGATACACTAGGACGTCTATACACAGTCCATCCCAGCCAAGACGAGTGTTTTTATTTGCGTTTACTATTAGTCAATGTTCGTGGCCCTACATCATTCCAACATCTGCGAACTGTTAATGTGTGTATTATGCGGCACATACAGAGAAGCCTGTCAACGTTTGGGATTGCTAGAGAATGACACTCATTGGGACCACACTCTCGAAGACGCTGTAATTTCGGCAAATGCTAAACAAATACGAACATTGTTTTCCATAATTTTGTCTACGTGCTTCCCATCAACACCGATAGATTTATGGAACAAATATAAAGATCATATGGCCGAAGATATATTACATCAGAAGCGACTTAGAACATCGAATCCAGATTTACAAATTAACGAAGAAATTCACAATGAAGCTTTAATTTTAATTGAAGACGTGTGCTTAATGCTTACCAATAAAGGATTAATACAATTAGGAATGACAACGCCTAATCGACCAATGCACGACGCATTTAATCAAGAATTGAGACGTGAAACCCAATATGATTCCGAAGCATTAAAAGAAACCGTTCTAAGAAACGTTCCTATTTTAAATGAGCAACAAAAATATGCCTACGATACGATTATGAAAGTAGTAAACGATGAAACTGGCGGATTTTTTTTCTTAGATGCTCCTGGTGGAACTGGAAAAACGTTTTTGATATCATTGATTTTGGCAACGATTAGATCGCAAAATGGTATCGCACTTGCACTAGCTTCGTCAGGTATTGCAGCTACGTTGTTAGAAGGCGGTCGAACAGCTCATTCCGCACTCAAGTTGCCGTTGAACATGCAAATAGATGAAACTCCAACTTGCAACCTTTCTAGAAATTCTGCGATGAGCAAAGTGTTGCGGCAAAGCAAATTAATAGTTTGGGATGAGTGCACGATGGCACACAAAAAATCTTTGGAAGCATTAGACAGGACGTTGCAAGATTTACGAAAGAACCAAAACCGGTTTGGTGGTGCAATGATTTTATTGGCAGGTGATTTTCGCCAAACATTACCAGTAATACCACGGTCAACGCCAGCCGACGAAATTAACGCGTGTTTAAAGTCGTCCATTTTATGGAAATACGTTAAAACGCTAAAATTAAATATGAACATGAGAGTCAAATTGCAGAACAACCAATCTGGAGAAGTTTTTTCCAAACAATTGCTCGATATTGGTAATGGCAAAATACCTGTTGACTTATCATCTGGATACATTACATTACCTACCAATTTTTGTCACTTTACTGAATCAAAGACCGAACTCATCGATAAGGTTTTCCCAAACATTGCTCAAAATTACAATAATCATGTATGGTTGAGCGAACGAGTTATATTGGCTGCAAAAAACGTCGATGTCAACGAAATGAATTTTCAAATTCAAAATAAGATAACTGGCGAATTGATGACATACAAATCGATTGATTCCGCGACTAACCAAGATGATGTTATCAACTATCCAACGGAATTCTTAAATTCGCTGGAATTGCCCGGATTACCACCTCATAATCTGCAATTAAAAATCGGATCGGTAATAATTATGTTGCGGAATATAAACCAGCCACGTCTTTGTAACGGCACCCGACTTGCAGTGAAAAAATTAATGAACAACGTCATCGAGGCCACAATTTTGAAAGGGAAGTACAAAGGCGAAGACGTTTTAATTCCACGGATTCCTTTGATTCCGAACGACATGCCATTCGACTTTAAACGGTTACAATTTCCAGTGCAACTAGCATTTGCAATGTCGATAAATAAATCGCAAGGACAGTCGCTAAATGTTTGTGGCATCAATCTTGAAAATTCATGTTTTTTACATGGCCAGTTGTATGTCGCCTGTTCCCGTGTTGGCATACCAACAAACCTATTCATATACGCACCAGAAAATAAGACGAAGAATGTTGTGTATCATAGAGCATTACAATAATAAACACTATGTTTTTGAATAATATTTTTTTTCCATTAATTATACCAATTCGAATTCAATATTTATAGTAAAGACAGGACAACGTCTGTCGGGTCAGCTAGTATATATATATATACAGGGTGTCCCATTTTAATGCCCCACCCCAAATAACTTTCTTATTTTTAATTTTAGAAAAAGATGTTTCAGACAAAAGTTGTATGGTTTCGAGGGGGACATAAGATGGTACCATTAATTTGATCTTGAAGAGTCACATGAAGGTTACGTGAAGATCATTTTCAATTTCTTAAATGGAACACCCTATATATTTTTGCATATTCTTGTAGCTTATCTCGAGAGCTTTCCAAAACACTATAAATAAACATTTTTTCATCAAGTACGTTTCGAGTAATGAGGCTTGAAATCATTTCTTAATTTTACATAAACCATAAAATATCTTGTAAAATATTCATTTTTTGATTATCTTACCTTAATACTTTTATGTACAAAATAATGAGAGAAATTAATTGGTGTAAAGAAAACATACAGTTGTTTTTAAGAAAAAATATGGAATTGTTAATTGCAAATTACATATTTTTTTCTTAAAAACAACTGTATGTTTTCTTTGCACCAATGGATTTCTCTCATTATTTTGTACATAAAAGTATTAAGGTAAGATAATCAAAAAATGAATATTTTACAAGATATTTTATGGTTTATGTAAAATTAAGAAATGATTTCAAGCCTCATTACTCGAAACGTACTTGATGAAAAAATGTTTATTTATAGTGTTTTGGAAAGCTCTCGAGATAAGCTACAAGAATATGCAAAAATATATAGGGTGTTCCATTTAAGAAATTGAAAATGATCTTCACGTAACCTTCATGTGACTCTTCAAGATCAAATTAATGGTACCATCTTATGTCCCCCTCGAAACCATACAACTTTTGTCTGAAACATCTTTTTCTAAAATTAAAAATAAGAAAGTTATTTGGGGTGGGGCATTAAAATGGGACACCCTGTATATATTGCGACGCTTTTTCAATTCAAATTTTATTCTCGCGGGGGAGCGGAAGCGCCGTCAAAAACACAAGGGTTTCATATACTCGCTATCGGTGGGACGGGGATGGAGGGTGTCCACGCGCGAGCCGCGGCGGAGCGAAGTCCGTCTCGTTACCTCAGAACTGGGCGCCAGGTACGGTCTCTCACGTACCAGTTTTCTCAAATTCTTCGAAAAGCGCGAAAGAATACGACAGCCTGCTTCGCCACGGGCTGGCTAGCTCGCCTAACGGTAGAGGGGCGGGGCTTGGAAGAAAAAGTCAATTGATTGCGCGAGCTTACTAAATTAACAGACAAAGACGAACACAGAAATTACGGACGATCGCCAGTCCAATAAAGAACGCGAGATATAATAAATAAGAAAATAACAGATTTATTGAGAAAGTAAATAATAAGAAAAGTGATTAACAAAAAGAAGTAAAAATCGATACAGATTGGAAACCGAAATAACGTACGAGACATGAACGGACAATAATTCTCGAAACGCTAGACAAACGCGCGATATTCTAAGTCGGCCTAACAAAGAACGTCTGTTACGGAGGCTTCCTAAAGTCGAAGCTCCTGAGAACAATAATTGATATAACTGAATTTGATAATTCGAATCCTCAATAACGGTCGTACCATACGCGAGAGAGAGAGAGATAATACCAGCCTATAATTCGCAGCTTCGACAGCTTCGCGGAGATCTTACTAATTAGCTGCGTATCTCGCAATTTCCTCCGAGCGTACTCGAAGTCGACAACCCAGAAATAAGATAGCCGATCAGCTACGCCATAAGCGAAAAGATCTTAGTTTCGCGAGGAGAGATCTCGCATACGATGGGCGGACGATACCGGCGAAGGTCGATAGCCGGCGGCGGTCGAAGATTCTTCCGCCTTTTTCTGCGACGCTCGTGACCTAATATTTCTGGCAATCGGGGCGATGCGACAATGTCGTGTTACACCCCCGATGCCTTCGACAGCGTGAGAATTAATTCTCTTCTCGTCTCAAGGAAATAAGGAAGGCCGGGCGACAGTCCCGCACCGTGCCTCCTTCGATAGCCGCAGTAATCGCCAGGAATTTCCTGACCTTCGATATCAAGACTTAGAATAGTGCGATACCCGCACACCGCGACGATTTCGAGGAATTGCGTTCCTTCTTTCGAGACGAATAACTCACACGCACCCAATGAACGCGACAATAATACGCCGTTTCATGCAGTATTCACGAACGGTAATGAGACGACACAAAGACTCATTTATCGCGACCAATTCCGCTCCACAGACTCGCTCTGAGACATATTTCAGAGGTGCGAGACGCGGCTTCGACAATCAGACGACAGCCCGTACGAACTACGCATTTCTCGCGATTTACGACGCACGCGGTCGATACCCGATGGCCGGATGCTACGCGTATTACGCACCCTGATACCCGGAGAGAGACGAGAATTACCCTACGATACGCACTTCCGTCGCCAGTGTCCGCGCTTCCTCGGTCGCTTGTCTTCGGTCGCCCGAAATACACAAAATCGACCGACTCGGCAGAAGGCTCGAGCGGTCGCGATAAGCCGTAATGGCGACGGCGACAGAACGGCCGGCGAGCGGACACGATCACGCTCGCGGAGTACAATGTTACGTGGGCAACCTCACCGACGCAGCTCCTCCTGCTGCGGGGATGATCCTCGGTCTCGTCCTCGGTGGTTCGTCTCGTCACCAGCGCACAAAAGCTTTTCGACTGATTTAGTCGAGCGGTCGCGACAAAGTGAGCCCTGGATCTCTCGATCCAGGGTCGATAGCGGGGTCGTTGGCCGCGCAGGGGGATGCGCGGACCCCTGGCCAATTAGCGGCCGACACGCGCGAGGTCCTGGCGCCTCGCGCGCCACGCGACGCATTATCGCGCCCCGCGTGAAATAGCGCCAAACTTGAATGTGGCCGCGGGCCCTTATATGGCCCGGGTGAGGTCCTTCCCGGACGTATCCTCTTCAGGAGGATGGCTATCGCAGCGGCTGTTATTCCTGGCTGTCGAGGGGGAGGCTATGCTGCCTTCCCCTGTTTGGACCCACGATGCCGGGCTTTCCGGGACAGGATCCTCCGCTCTCAGGAATGTCCTTTGGCGGTCGTTCCTCGCTGTCGTGGGGAGGTGATGCCGTTCTCCCCAGGTCTTCGGTGTTCGGTGGTGAGGCGCCTCAGACTCGACGCAATTATTAAAAGAAATACAAACAAAAAAAAACAATTAATCGGATACACAATTACTCTAATTCGCTCGTCTCTCCGGGGAGTACGGTAGCTCTCTCTCTCTCTCGACCCTTGGCGCGGCCACTCGGCTCGCGTCCCGTCAAGATTGCCGGGGCGGATAGACGCGACGGGACGGCCACGTCACAATATATATATATATATATATATACAGGGTGACCCATTTTAACTTAGGCAGCCAAATAACTCGAAAACCAAGCCCAGGAGAGAAAAATGTTTCAGACAAAAGTTGTTTGGTTTCGAGGGGGCCATAAGATGGTACCATTGGTTTGACCTTGAAGAGTCATTTGAAAGTCACGTGAAGGTCACCTCAATTTTTTTAAATGGCACCCCCTATTTTTTATTAGATATTCTTGTAGTTGACCTCGAGAGCTTTCCAAAACACTATAATAAAATATTTTTTCATAGAGTACTTTTCGAGTTATGAGGCTGGAAATCATTACTTAATTTTACATAAACCATAATATATCTAGTAAAATATTCATTTCTCGATTATCTTGCCTTAATACTTTTATGTACAAAATAATGAGAGAAATCAATTGGTGTAAAAAAACACATAGTTGTTTCAAAGAAAAAATATGTAATTGTTAATTGCTAATTACATATTTTTTCTTAAAAATAATTATGTGTTTTCTTTACACCAATCGATTTTTCACATTATTTTGTGCATAAAAGTATTAAGGTAAAAATAATCGAAAAATGAATATTTCACTAGATATTTTATGATTTATGTAGAATTAAGAAATTATTCAAGCCTCATAACTCGAAAAATACTCAATAAAAAAATATTTTATTATAGTGTTTTGGAAAGCTCTCGAGGTCAGCTATAAGAATATGTAATAAAAAATAGGGGGTGCCATTTAAAAAAATTGAGGTAACCTTCACGTGACCTTCAAATGACTCTTCAAGGTCAAACCAATGATACCATCTTATAGCCCCCTCGAAACCAAACAACTTTTGTCTGAAACATTTTTCTCTCCTGGGTTTGGTTTTCGAGTTATTTGGCTGCCTAAGTTAAAATGGGTCACCCTGTATATATTTGTAATATGAAAGATACGAAAATACATCGCGCGCATTGCAACGCGTCGCAACAAACATATATATTGTACAACATTAAAGGTAATAAAATACATCACGCATATCCGTAAAAATACGTCGCATAGCGCTTAAGTTCTATCCGCGCCTCTCCTCACAGAGGTATCCTGTAGTGCCCCCACGGCAGAGTGTCGGTCGAATCCGGCACGACGTAGCGCTTATCGTCGTACGGACTGAGCGCGACTTTCGATTCGCGCACAGTGTACACCTCGTGTAACTTGGATCTCAGGCACGACTGCTCGCGAGTCATCTCGATCTCGCGTCTCAGGCAGCGCTCGTAATCGTCGAACGTCAGCGTTCTCGCGACGATGCTGCTCCTCATGCCCTTGCTCTTCTTAGTGTCGCCCCTACCCTCGACTCGCAACGCGTACATCTTCGCTCTGAATCCGACGAACTCGAGCATGAGAGCGCCGTTGTTCTCGTCCTTCATCAGACCGAGAACCTTCTTATTCGCGCGCGGCACGCCGTAGGGATTGTCGACGGCGTAATCGCTCGTGTCGAATCTATCGATGTCGCGCTTCATTCGCTCGTACGCGTCCTCGCACTCTACGCTATAAATGAGACTGTCCGTGTCGGTGTACAATATCTTACACTTATCGCCGTAGAGCGGCGACATATATTCGTAGTGAAACGCGTACA